GTCTCAACTTTCTCCCCTATTCTCCACATCCGATGCTTCAGGACGGACAGGCGACTCTCGCAGGAAAGCACATGAGAGGTAGACCTTGACGCCCAGCCGCGCATGGCGAGATTGAACCACAATCGAAGGAGCTCTAACCATTCGCGATCGTCTCGCAAGCGCCAGAGCCGACGGAGCCCTCTCAGCGTTCAGTTCCTTAAGCTGCCCCTACCCCTTTCCCGTTAAGTTTCCATAAGCGTCCAAACACCAACTGGAGCTCAACTTACACTCTCGCGTCGAATACGACAACCCGGGAAATGAGGGTGACGAGTTACCCGTATTCCCGTATGGCCCGCACATCGTACTCAAGGCAGCAGAGTCCAGAGGTCGCTTCGCTCGCCTCTTACACCGTTCCCGAGGGACGAGTGAACGACACCCTAGAAGCCGGGCGCAGCAGCTTAGCTCTAAACGCGCGGTATCCCGTACAGGCCCTGCAGATACCGTTACCAAAACACGCACGCAAACAAAGAATCTCTCCGTCAAGTCGGGGTTGCCAATGACTTCACAGGCCACTACGCACCAAGAAGGTACGGAGTACACTGACTGACCTGAATCCCCTCGTGACTAAACACCCAACTGAGACGAGGGGAAGCATCTAAACAGTAAACTGCAAAAAGGGGTGTGTGCGTTTGCAGCAGTCCCTTGCTTTTTCTGGATGCCAGAAACGCCCAGACTCGTCACGGCCTAGCGGTCCTGAAAGAAACCTAACCCAAATCTCAAAAGTCAAGACAGCGGCGAGGGGCCGACTCGGCGAGGTCATGATCGAGAAGTTGCAAGTGACTTTACTTACTGCCGGAGATATCTCATACTGGTCAAGAGAGACAAGCAACAAAGGCAGAAGTGCTTCTTCTCATGCCCGAACGAGGAAACTCGACCTAATCCGGGCTTTGGGAAGTGAAAGAAAAGTAGACACAGACGTGAGTTGATGAGGTAGTCATCATCAACAGCCTCCCGCCGAGTCCAAAGTGCTTGCATGAGCTATCCGTACCTCGTCCCACATATCCCCATCCGCCCTGCAAAGTCGAGCATGTCACCTTGCGGATACAGATCCTCTGCCCAAATTCCCAACCCTCACGTGAGCTTACCCAGCATCGTGAACCTCTTCCACCTAATCTCCATCCAGTCCTCACCCACAACGAACCGTGCGTCGTCCGTTGAGTTCATACCGCACGCGAATAACCTTACCTTACTTTAGTCTACGCGTCTACCTGCCGTGCTACCTAAAGCTCTAAAGGTATCTGGGCCTCCAAGGTAGGTAGAGTAGCAGGCGAACAGACAATCACAGTGCGTCTAGGCGTCTCACCTCGCCAACCCTCCCAGTGTTTATCCCGTTTTCAGTGACACGCAGGGTATTCCGCTCGATACCCTGAGTTCGAACCTCGAACCGCCGAGGGGGGGATGGTGGCACAGGGGAAAACTCAATTCAACCCCGGGCTCCTCTAAATCCTACCAGCCAACCTCACCGTGAAGGATTGAAGTGAGGCTTGAGGGCCAGGCTTGAGCCCTCGACCCAACCCAACCAAACAAAACAAAACAAACCATGCTCCCAACGTCGTATCGTCCACCCCCTTCACCAGACTTAGAAACGCGTTACAGATTCAAGCACCCATGCATCTCATCCCTCTCCACGTATGTACGCTACTGTACGGAGTGCGCACACTCTCCAATGCTCCATCTCACCCTCACTCGAAACCAACAGCGGTCCACCAGCTCCATGACGTCCGACACATCACCCACCGTCCGCCTTCCGCCCCCCCGGCACATGCCCCCGGGGCTCCATTCCCGCCGTCCTCAATGCCAACCCTCACCCGGCGACGAACACCCCGTGGCAGTGCCGTCCCGGCTGTGGCGCAGAACCTTTATTCAACTTTTCCCCATCCCACATTCCATTCCTCCTTCCACGCCGCATTCATCCACTCAGGAAATTCGGCATCCTTTCATTCCCCTGGTATCCGCATTCCTCTCCCTCTCTCTCGTACCTGAAAACTGCACGCGAGCGGAAACGCCACTCCCGTCATCTGTTCCTCTCACCATCACATTCCCCTTCTCTCATTCCCATACGGACGAACTACGTACAAAGAAAATCCCCGGCACCCGTATCCTGTATATGATGCATCCCACCTTTCTAACCCCTTCACCCCTCCTCGCCGAATCAAGTTAGTCTCCACTGACAAAATGGACCCCTTGTCGCCATGGATGATGGGGGTTCTCTTTCCTGAGCTTTTGTTTCACAGCCTTTCTTGGGCAGAGGTGTAATCAAGAACGTTCCTACCCTGCTTCCCTGGTAAAGGGGAGAGTGAAACGCCGTCTGCGAACATCTCACCCGCCCCGCCGCTACAACCTCATGCATCGAGTCGATGAACAAGAGCGACATTTCCCCCTTCTACCCCGTAACGTGTGGCTTCCATTGAGAAAATCCCTTCTCGTCCGTCATCGAGTGTCGAAGCAAACGTCGTCCCTAAGAGCCAGTGTCGTGGCTTTTACGGCCTTCTGCCTCTGCAGGTGAGGCTGAGACTGGGAAGCAATGACGAATCTTATCTAGCATGATGTCCACCTATCCCCAACCCCTCAATCACCTCATCCACGATCCCTGAGTTTGATGATGCTTTTCCTCGCGAAGGGTTCGGGTGAGAGCGTCAATTCTAAGCTCAATCCATCTTGTGATGTATGTCTGTCAATGTGCTGTCTTTCAATCGAATGTTGGGATATCCAAAACGATGCCGATTGTTTCTACATCTTTCTCAGTAAAGATGGGTCTGTACACGGCATCCTGAACTGCCTCCGACGGCCACTCGCATGTAATTATTCCTCAAGTCACATTGCGCTCCCAAAATGAGACAATCCAGTTAAAATTCATCATCGATCATCAACGTACCAAAACTCCATCCAACTAATGCGAATGCTTCAAACGATACCCTGGGATGCATTTCAACAATGCAGACGCCTCCTGGCCATGACCCAAAGCCTGCTTCCTAAACGACGAACGCAATGCAACAAGAAAGCCAGGTCCACCGCCTCACGGGTCGGGAACTCAATTGAACTCGGAAAACAGCCCGCTCAACCCATCCTCTTTGCCGCGATCCCACTCCCGCTTCTCCCCAGCCTTAGCCCACTGCACATCCCGCTCGTCCTTCTGCTCGTCGGCCGTACCGCCCTCCCTCCACTTCTTCAGCATCACATCGGTGTACCCGGCCGCCCGCATCCGCTCCTCCTGGTTCTGCCGCCACTTCTGCCTGTCCCTGAATGCCTCCACGGCGTCATCCCAGTTCTCTCCCGGATGTTTGTCGTCGTCGGCCATCTCCACATCAATTTTGGGGTTGTAGTCTGCTTCAAAGCGCTTGTCGATACCCGAGGCCCCCATGGCGGTGCCCCGGCCGCGCGAACGGACTTGCTGCGGTGGTTCCGGCCCAATGAATTCGTCCAACGGATCCGAGTCTGACGTTGTCGTCTGGGGCTCCTGCTCGTGCACTCGCCCTCCGTCGCGGCGACGGCTGCTGCCCTTGATCGAGAATCCTGACTGTGGCCTCTCCCGGCTCCGGTCTCTGCGTGACCGGTGACTCTTCGACATTAGATCCTGTCCTTCTTCGTCTCGCCTCCTCTCCCTATCATTTCGCCGGGACTTTGACGCAGTCTCCCTATCCTCGATTGGCGACCGATGGCGGTGCCTCCTGTGCTTTTCGTCTGGTGAGCGTGACCTCCGCCGATCGCTCTTGTGTCGTCGACGGTCGTCCCGCTCCGAATCCGATCCGTCCCTTCTACTCCGGCGGTGTTTCCTACCGCTCTCGCGTTCTGGAGATTCGCTCCTGCGTTCTTTGTGATGTGCCCTCCGCGGCGGCGAGCCTTCCTTTCTGTGCGACTTCTCTTTCGACGTTCCCGATCGACTGAGCCTGGTTGTGTCCTTGCGGTCTCCTAAGATGGATAGGATGTCTCCCATCTGTCTCTTTCGAATGTCCTGCGGGCCTGCCTTCCTCCGCCTCTCCTTCTCCTCGGCATGTTCCAGATCCTTCAAGCGCGCGCGAGACTCGGCAGCCTCTTTAGCTAGGAGGTTCTTGTTGTGCGTATTCGTGTCCTTGATAATGTGGCGTAGGAAACGAGTGTTTGGTTTGGGCATGTTTGCCGGTCTAAAGGGAAGATCCAATTAGATGGTGACGTGAGGGAACCGGGAGAGCCATGGGACGTACTTCTTGTCTGCCCTGCCCATGACTGCCTCTTTGGCGAGCAAGTCGGCGACGTAGTCGTCCGTGATCATATCGTGGCTCGACATTATGAGGCCTTAGTAACCAAATCGTAGATCCAAAAGGTGGTGAGATAGCCAAGCGCCTTCCGAACACTTTTGATCAGGCTGATGGCTGCGGCATCCGGCAGCTAGCTGGGGTATGTGCCTCTTTTTGTCATGAATAGAACAGAAGCGCGGGGTGTCTAGAAGTGCCGGTCTCGGATCGATGAAAGAATTCGAAAGTAATAGCGACAGGGCTTTCCAACGAGGCTGTTGAATGAAGCGATGGAGAGGGGCAGCGGGGGTTCGCTTAGTTGAGAGGTGTCGTTGTCGCAAACTGCGGCGTTTGGAGGATTGATCGACGACAGCAGCAAAGGCCGCCAGAGTCACATCGACAAGGGACTTGGCGCGCAGTGGGACGAGCCTGCGCCATGCCTGCCGTTTTCCGCACGGCCAAGTAGCTTATCAGCAGATAATAGTGAGTCGGAGATGGCGATAAGATAAAGATGTGACCTTACCCAATCTAGACCTAAGTAAACAAACGTCACAAAGGTGAAGCGCCCACCTTACCATTACTTACCTTAATGACAGACCTTGAACGCTTGAGGGCAAAGAATTAACAACCGCGACAGGATCTCCCCCGCCGACATCATCTCCGACGCGCCAACGACGAAGCTTGAATCGACAGCGCGCCTACTGGGGCCAAGATATACGACAACAACACAGCTAATCGGCCTTCCAAAAAATGGACGCGGGAAAGGCGGCCCAAGTGCTGCGCAAAATCGAAGACCTTAATGAGAACCATGAAATCTCAATCGTCAGACTCAGCGAGCCCATCTCCAGCGCCGTCGCGCAAGAATCACGACAACGGACGTCAGACGCATCCAACGCATCCCAAGATGCCGCGACACCAGCCAGCCTAGAGGCCGACCTCGAGCACTACAAGGAGCTCTTCGCCAAGCTGCGGTTCTCCTACGTCGAGCAAGTCACAAAAGAAAAGTTCATACGCGCCATTGTTGGCGATCCGCCCGTGATCGTCACGCCGCAGGAGAATCTAGAGCTGGAGAAGGCGAATCTCGAGGCCAAGGCGCAACTCAAGGCTCTCAAGGTGGAGGTCGCAGACATGGTGACGGAGCTGGAGAGGAAGGGCAAGGAGCTGGCGAAGCGGTACGACAACGTGTCGCTGGACACAACGAAGCTGAGGGAGCTGCCCGACAAAATTTCCGAGTTGGAGGAGCAGGTGGCGGAGCTCAAAGAGTCGCAAGCACCGGGGCAGAGCCCGATGATGAACCTGCCTCTCGCGAGGACCCTCGAACTGGTGGACGAGAAGAAGAGGCAGCAGCAGCAGTTGGATCGCGAGCTGGAGCAGTTGCAGGCCAAGGTGCCGCGCAAGAGAAAGGAGTTGGAAAGGCTGCAGGCTGAGTTGATGCCCTTGGAGGCCAAGAGGCAGAACAGCACGGCAGCTGCCAAGGAGGCGCGAAGGCGGAAGGATAGAGCCGGTGGTGATGCAGACGACCTCGAGGAGCGGGGCCGCTGGTTGAGAGCCAGCGAGGCGGCGCTCAAGCAGATGTTGGATATCCAGGGTTGAGAGGGGGTTGGTACAACGGGCGGATGGCAAGACGGTGGACGACGTGATGATTTTGTATACCCGCACACAGCAGGCCCGGTCATGGGTTAGGAAACGGCGTTCCCAGGCGTTTGGAGATGACATGAATTCACGGACTCGCTTCTACTGATACACGGTTGCTCGGTTTAATGGCGCCAAGTAATGCCATCAATTAATGGTGAAACTCGGCTGCATCTCTTGCCTGCCTCTCATCCTCATCGCTTCCCTGAGTGCCATTTGCCGTATTATATAGTCGCTGACACACGACACGAGACGCATCCGCTGCAGTCTCTCAAAAAGACGAAATAGCCTCAAATGGGGCTGTCCAGGGGTTTGTCACCAGCAAAAAAAAAAGATGGATTGGCGGCTGGATAACAAGACCCACCAAAATTTGAAGACAGGGATGCTGCGGCGGTGCACAGGCAGGTCGAGTCCCCTGGCTGGCCGGGGAAGGTGTTGATTGGACGAAGATCGAACCCTCGGTCACGTGTAGTGCCATCCACGAATTTTCAGAGTGGCCGAATGGGTAGGCCCCACCAAGCCCAATCCTCTCGCTTAGGTCACGCACCACGAAATTTGACAATCGAGCGTCTTTCTCGATTGATTCCTCCGCGAACCAACTAACCGACCAGCAACCACCGAACACCATCGTCGACCACCGAATACCGCCAAGATGAGTACGTTTTAGCCGCCGCCGTCGTCGCCATCGTCTTCGTGACGAAAGGTTGACCATTTCACGCCGTTCCGATGGACTGACCGATGTTTTTTTTCTTGTATAGCGAAGGGTACCTCCTCGTTTGGTAAGAGACACAACAAGACGCACACCTTGTGCCGTCGTTGCGGTAAGTGGCATCTACATGGGAGAGAGTCGAGTTCTGGTTTACTAGGACGCGACCACTTGCCAAAATTCGAGATTCGATGCGGGTTCAAGAGACTGATCAATTTTCATGTGTTTTCAGGTCGCCGATCGCTTCACATCCAGAAGCACACCTGCTCTTCCTGCGGTTACCCCTCGGCCAAGACCCGCAAGTGTACGTTTTATCCTCCCGAACGACGAACCCAATCCGAGTCCCCAGACATAATCAACATACCAATCCCCTGAGATGATCTCAATTCCACGCCACATCTTCTACGTCTACCCAATACACGCAGCAACCAAACAAGAACCATGAACCGAGAAAGATGAAGACGAGTTACTGACGTAGGATGCGATTTACAGACAACTGGTCCGAGAAGGCCAAGCGGAGAAAGACCGTCGGCACCGGCCGCATGCGCTACATGAAGGACGTCTCCCGCCGCTTCAAGAACGGCTTCCAGTCCGGTGTCCCCAAGGGTTCCGCCGGCCCCACCGCGCAGGAGTCGTGAGCGATGATTGGAATGTGATTCGGGTCGACATGGGGAGGTATCTGTGCAATCGAGGGCATTCGGGCGATGGGGGAATGAAAAATTGAGATCGAGGCGGGGGGCCAGGGAAGGCGTGGCAACGCCGCCGGAGTCTTGTCTACTCGGGAAACGATATCACGAAAAGAAAACAAGGGAAAAATCAGCTCCTTTCTTTCTTCTGCTTTTCTTCCCTCCCCCTCTGTCTCTCTCACCCCTCCCCTCGTTTTTTTGACTCGGAAGCAAAGCCAATATCAAAAAAAGAGTCAAAACAAAACCAAAGCATTTGGCCAAAAATCGAAACGGGTGTTTTTACGTCTTATGTTATCTCGCGCGCGGGCTCTTCAAGGGGATAAACTCACTTTTTTTTACACAAGGGAAAAACGGATCCTGAGGGAAAAGAGAAATGACTTTGCTTGTCTTGTTCACTCACTGATCCCACGCGCAACTGGATAATGTGAATGTTCGATTCATGGGGGATTTCGGAGACGAAACATCGTACTTTGACGTGACAGATTGGATATCCCCTCATCGTGAGATAATTGCTTGCATTCGAGGGGTATATCATATCCCGATTCCAAACCCTTAGCAACCCCTTCAAGCCCTCTTCGAAGGATGAACAGCCTGACCGCAACACGATGATGGGTGGTGACATTCAACTTCAACCCTTCCTACACTCCATCACTGTCCCCTCCCAAACACCTTGACGCTCCCATCCCCACCAACAAAGTACAACAGTTCCGTCTCCTCGACCGCCCTGTCCTCTTCGCCGCCCCCTCCAGCCGTGACCCTCAACACCCCGCTGACGTCGCTCGCGTTGCCCGTGTCAAGCAGCCTCAGACCAATCACCGTCTCTGCGGCATGCGCCAGCCCGAGAACGAGACTCGCGTGCTCCTTCTCCAGCGTCGTGGTCTGCGCCGCGATGAGGGGCTCGTCTGCGGCGACGGTGATGATGGAGGCGTGGACTTTCTGGATGATGTGTCAGTGAAGGACCCTTACTTGATTTGAGAATGATAAAAAAAAAAAAGGTGGGAAGGATATCTCATCGTTGATGCAAAATAACTTGCACACAAAAGTTGAAAACGAGACCTTCAGAAAGAGAAGAAAATGAGCCAGAAAGTAAGGTAGTAAGCGTACGTACCTCTTGCACACCAAGCAACATATCCCTCAACGCAAGACCCGTGAGGTCCTCGCCAGACGCAGCGAGCAAGAGGTCCGGCTGGTCCACAATTAGAACCGTCTTCGCATCCGCCGCGGACACATCGGATATCGCGCCGTCGATCTCGCGCTGGATGTCAGCCAGCCTTGCCCCGCGGATGGTTCTCCGACCCTTGGGCGTCGGCGGCGGCGCCTGATGAGCGGAGGAAAACAGCCCGCTCAGCCCGTCCACGAAGACGAATTTGCCGCTTCTTCCCAGTCCTTCTAGATCGAGGCCCTGTGGTGCATGGTTAGCGTTTTGTTATTTTATTTTTTCAATTAGATTCCAAAGTGCTGTGTGCTGGCAAGAAAAATGAATGGTGAAAGTGAAAAATCTCATTGAAAATCTCATCGAATGGAGGGGTTGAAATTTCCAGTGAGGGGCGTTCCATGTCAAGTAGCAAGCAAACATACCAATCTCCCAGCGCCTTCCTTCCAAAACGCAAAATCTCTCATGAAGCTCACAAGAACGACGCGGACGTCCTCGCTCTGCGATGCAGAGGCGGCCCCTTCCTCACCAGCGGCGTTGACTTTCCTGAGATACGTGTACAGGTACCGCAGGACGAGCCAGTTGGTGCTGGCGCCGAGGACGCTGGTGAGGAGGATCTGAGCGTACTCGGACGGGAGGGCGAGGTAGCTCTCCAGCAGGTGCGGTATCCTCGTCGCCATTTTTTAATTTGCGTATGCTCTTATGTGTAAATGTTGTATGAGAGACGGATGCTTGGTTGTTATGTTCATGTAAGTGAGGGCCTCACTTGAAGTCAGTAGAGTCATTGTGCTATTTTCCGCTGCGTCTGGGTGTGGTGGGGCTCCTTTGGCAGTGCCGAGAGTGGTTAGCACTGTGTTGGACTGGACCTCTTAGCAAAGCTGACTCTAAATGAAGGTCGTCCTGTCGCCGTCATGAGCCTCGCATTTTGATCAACTACATGTTGATTAATGTTAGAGACATGGTCAGTTCTATTTATCTTGGTTCAAGGTTTGTGCGCCTCAAATGATTTTTCAGAATGCTCGGGAGTCCATATGAAACTACTTTTCGAGCTCATCATTGTTCTATAGTTCGTCTTACAGAGGCTGTTTCATGAACACAAAAGGTACCTTCACCTTGGATGGGTAGGTACTAGGTGAGGTGTGCAGTGCTATCTACCAGTGTATCATTCATCGAATCCTTGGTCATGACGTGTCAGTCCCTAAAACTAGATAGCCAAAGTGAGTGAACACATCGCCAACATAGCAAAAGCAAAACATTCCGAAACCGAGAATCGAACTCGGGGCTATGCCTAACCGCTCATTGAGATGAGAGGGCATCATGTTGGCCACTACACCATATCGGATTGGATGCAAGTTCCCCACGGCAAAGGAGAATAAGAATGGTGGGCGACGTGACTGGTGGGATGCTAGGTGGATCTGGAAATACCTTTCGTGGACTTCGACGCCATCTGAAGCACATTGGAACAAAGTTCAATGTCGTGGAGGTTTTTAGATCCTAGTTTATTTTGCTGCTTATGGGTCATATACGTTCAGCATTAGAAAACCCAAGATGTGTTAATATTGTTTGTGAGGTTAGACGGTTGAAGCGGAAAAGCTCACCTACAGGGTTTCCCGAACAACTACAGAAACACATAAAAGCCGATGATTATCAGTGACCATGCCTTTTATACTTTATTATGAAAGCAAAACTTGTAATCACTCAGTACCTTCCAAGGCAGTCTTTTCCATACGTGCAGCCATCCCCTCGAGTAGAACGGGGAGCAATTCCAGCAGAGACTCTGGGTCCTAGGAGACTTGGAACTTCCCTTCACCGGATTGAAGAGTCTTCTCACTCCAGTTGATTACCAACGCACCTCGAAGCTTCAACAAGCAATGAGGGGCATTCACATATCAGATATACCTTGCTACATCACTGAAGTAAATCAAAGTGGAAAGGCAGGGCCTGTTCGCATTCGGTTGGATCTATACATACGCCACGAGGCTACGATTGGCAGAGTGACCCCTAAAGAGCGAAGCCCAACTGACCTCTGTCGTGCGTACCCTCGTTTCCAAGCAGGGAGGTTATAGTTTATCAAACACACTCTGAGATCATAGTTCGAACACAACATAACACTAATGAGTCTTCTGCCCTATCATAGTTTGCTCCAATACCTATAACTAGACGCTCCACCCGGAAGATAGTTACTCATGAGACTCAGGATCAGAAGCACGATCTTGACGGCTCAGCGCGTCGCGTTCTCTCTGGAAAGCCTCACGCATCCTGACCTTGGCTTTCAACTGCGCCGCCGACATTGGGCGTCTCCGGGATCCTCTCAATGAGCTTGGCTGCACACTTGACTCTCTCTGAGGATCCTCGTCCTTGCCATGAATCCATGTAATTTCCTCTGACACTGCTTCCGCGCTAGATTACAATGACATTCGGGGGCTCGGAGCCTCAGTGGATGAACTTGCGCGAGTGACCAACTCTTCCTAAGAGCCATCACCCTTGTGTTCCTGGCTGGCCTCCTCTGCTTCAGCTGCTTCCGCATCTGCTTCCAGAGACACTGAGGGGCTCTGGGTCTCAGTCAACGAGCTTGGTTGCGCGACTGAATCTCCTCGAGAATCCTCGCCCTCGTGTCCTTGGCCGACTTTGTCCGCTTTCAATCCTTCCTTCCAGGCTGCCATCAAAGATTGTATGAAGGCAATGCCTGCGGTCTCTGTGTAAGTGATTCGTAGGGCGGCGGCCGACGAGCTCAGTCCTGTGATGGTATCTCTCTCCGCCGCTGTCTTCTCTGCGGCAGCCTCCTTCGCAGCCCTCCTCTCCTTCGCCTTCGACCTCCTCGCTCTCTTCTTCTCCTTCTCCATCTCTCTCTTCTTCTTGATTCTCGCCTTCTTTATAGCGATTTCTCTCTCTCGCTTCAGCCATTCTCTTGAGTACAACAGATTGCAGGAGTACCTATCGGAGTCATGTTCTCCGAATCGTTCAAGCAGCCAATTTTCGAAGTGCTCATCTCCTTTGCCATTTTCCCAATCGAGAGGCCACCAGCCACCAAAACTATGAAATCGGTCAAGATCGAAGCATTTGGTAGGATGCGGAGGGTGAGGAAACCGCGACCATCTGTCGACGGGATCCCTGAGTTTGGAATCGATCATACAGATATCGTAGGAGATGAGACAGACTCTTTGCGTCTCAAGGAGGGTTGATTTGTTCCGCATGGAGATGAGTACGTTCTCTGGCTCAACGTAGTCATGCCAGACCCCTTTGTATATCTGTTTGATGGTTCCCTCGATAAGTTGAGCTAGAATGTCCAAGCGTTTCTCAAGGTCAAAATGAATCGAATCAGGGCCGTTCGGGACCAAGTAAGTTCGTTGTGTGGGGGGGACTAGGACGTCATCGTCGTCGTGGCGGCATATAGCTTGAATGCTGCTTCCCTCGATGTACTCCAGGAGTACAAGGCCAACATGTCGCGTCTTTCCCTCGCAGTCTGGAGAGTAGCTCGTAAGACAGGTCGTCCAACAGCCGTAGTACTGAGGGGCGAGATGCGGATAGCCAGTCAGGTCCTTCTCGTGCAGTTCCTTGTACGCGCCAGCCTCGCGACTCAGTCTCATGTCGGCTCTGGATGTATCTTTCCAAAAGGGCAGATCCTCGGGGAATGAAGTGCTATAGAACAAGGGGTCAAAGATCTTGGCGACTGCGAGTTCTTCCTTGTCGGGAAGAGGAAACTTGGGATCGCAGCTGGGCATGTGAAGGATCTTGACCAAGACCACTTGGTTGCCGCGACCGTGACCGCCAGAAAGGACCCTTACAACCTCGATGCGCA